TTTAGGGGGGGCCCTAGAATAATGTCTAGAGATTTGAGGCTTTAAATATTTATTCCTTCTCTTTGCCTTTTGATTTGCTTTACTTACCATTGAAATTGCAGGTCTTTGGATTCAGATTTCCATTGAAATTTAAAAGTTAGTTCTATTTCCATTGATTCATTCCCTTTTATTGTAATTGATATTCCAGATGTCTTCAAAGTTAGGTTTTCTTGATTCCTTTTATTTTAATATTGCCAGAGTAGCTCCAGAGGTACCTAGCTAAGGATTCCTTATTTGATTATCAATTGATTGATTTTCTTATACATTATTTTGGAGGCCTTGGTTGTTGAGGGGGGGGGGTTATAAATCAAGGGACTACATTATACTGTAATCTTCTTCTGGTTGCACATCTGCTTCTTCCAAAACAAGTTAGCTTGTTATATTCCTCACCTTCTCTTCATCCTACCCCTGAGCTTTCAGCGCGAGGGCACCACTCCAAACATTCATTGCTGGTGCCGTCCCTGCGCCATCCCGGCCTCGCGAAGGCTTTGGAAGACGGGCTTCAGGACCTCCTCATGGACCTTCTGGTCGGACGCTGTTCCAGTCACGGTCGGTTTTGATCGGGCGGACGGGAGTGCCCGAAGAGTGCCAGGAGGGCCTGGGGAAGGTAAGGCCCCCGGAGCCTAAGCTAGCTAGGTACCCCAGGGCTCCAACTACCTCCGTTTCGAAGGTGGTTGAGATGGGTGTCAGGCGGGTCTAACCACCTTCTGAGGATATGGTTGGAACCCTAGGCCCTAGGGGGACTACTCTTGCCAGAACGGAAAACCACCCGCAAACTGTGGTCTTCAAACAACTCATAGGTTGTCCAAGTCTTAAAGACCGTTTTCATCCGTTTTCCATCCATGTAACATCACGTAAGCACCACCAATGTGAGTTCCAGGGAGGGTCGTTTTACCCCTTTCTCGGCGCGCCCCAGGGCCGGACGACTGCATGGGGTCCCACTACGTAGTCACGTGAGTGGACGAGGTTCAGGACGACCCTGAAGTCGTTCCGTGCGCTTCCCGGTCAAACCGGTGGGCCAGAAGTTCGTCCGTTCGTCACTGAGTCTGTGAGTTTCTCCGGGCCGAAAACGCAAAACCATTCGGAAACGTGAAGCTAACAGGGTGTGAGGCATCCAACGTGCATCACGTTCGGTCGTCGGCCTTTCAATGTTTGACGGATTTTCTCAGATACCTAACGTTTCAAGCCGACTAGGCCTAAATTGTCAAGTCAGTCTAGGCATGTCTAGGCTCGCTTCATGCATCGCTCTCTTGATGCTTCTACCTTATGCTTAACGCTTCGCCGATCAAGGGAGGGTAGGGTCCAAACCCTCCATAGGAGGGTCCAATGATGGTTTGGGTGAAAGAAAGGAATCTCCAAAAGGTGCGATTCCATCCCAAACCAATTTGTTTTTTGGCCTTTGCTCCGGCTCCGGTCACTAAGTGTGAGTCCTGAGTCTTCGCCCGCAGAAAAACTGTGTGTTCCATGATCCAAGAGCGTTCCCCAAAACGAGCGCGAATTGACCGAGGATGATTCACACAGGGCCTTGGTCACCCCAAAACGCTTTTCACAACCACCCCAAGGATGCCCCCGAACAAATTGGACAAGAAAACACTGTCTAGTTTGCACTTGCCTATGTTATGGAACACACGATGCCATTCGTTCTCGTTTCGGTGCAATCGAGGGACACAGCCGCGCCGCGCCAATCCGACGAGACAGCGCCTGGAGGGGTGAGGCAGTCGGCAGTCGCTTATAGAGAGCCGAGTTCCAAGTTCTAACAACCTGGAGTCGCATCATTTTTAATAGCATGACCACAAGCTATATAGTGTGAGTGGACCTGATTGTTTTTTCTCAACAAAAACATACCCACACAAACTTCAAACAATGCCCCTAATATCCCCCAATGGCCTCACAAACTCGCACCTGGCTAAAAACACATCCTCCTGAGCCTGCGAACCAATTAGGCATCCCCGCGTCAATTCGGAGGTGTCCATGTCATTCACATGCGGAAGTAGCTGCTCGGCCATCCGGATGGTCTCATCCTGCGACCCAAAGAAAAAACATCTAAATAGAAACCCGATGGCCTTGTGTGGAGGCTGCTGGGAAGCTCCGTGCCAGAATCATACGTATTAACTATACATAACTATATATCTATACGCACATGATTCACTTGATGGGTTAGTGCGTGTACGTGAAGAACCAATGGGCAACAAATTTCCCCCAAAAAGAACACCTCGATGATACAACTTTGTCCTTGTAATTTACGTGTTTTCTTGCACCTCCCCATTTCTAGTTTCCAAAAAACATCCAAGACTAACATAGCCCCAAGATGTGCCCCAAGATTACAAACTCTGAGATTCGAGCAACATGGCCTCAAGAGTTGGGTCAACATACCCCAAAAATGGGCAAACGTTGCTTCAACATATTATAGCGTCAAGAACCCCAAACTGGTCAACATAACCCCAAGATAGGCAGACATAGCCGCAAAATGTCCCAACATGGACCCCAACATGGCCCCAAGATGACCCAACATAGCCCCAAAATTGGGGCAACATAGCCCCAAGATGGCCAACATAGCCTCAAGATTGGCTACTGTGTGCACGTGAAGAAATAGGTGATCTTTGGCGCCAACCAACAAAAATTACGGCCGGTGTTTTCTTGCACCTCCACTTTTCTAGTTTCCAAAAACCAATTTGTCACGTTGTATACGTATACTATTTGCATCTATTTGCAAATTGGTTCCTGTCGATCACCCTCCTTCAGTCAATGTTGCCAGAATCCATCACTGGCTGGCAAACCCAAGAAATGGGGATATGTTTAGCTGGCCCAACATGATATAGCATGCATACTTTAGTGATCTAGCTATGCATGATCCTGCCATTTCCATTCTGAACCTGCAGGTGCTTAAACACCTCTTCCATCCCGATCTCACCACCATGTTTCCTCGATAATTGAGATTTTCAAAGCAAAATGCAGTCACAGAAACATCATTAAGTTGAGAATCAAAACCTAAGTCAAGTCATTCAAGCAATTTTGATGTTAAGCGACTTCAACGCAAGGTCACTTTGAACCTGCTAGGATATGCTGGGTATCTTTTAATGGCTTTGACCTGTTTTTCTCAAAAACCTTTCCTTCCAACTTCCAACCCCTCAAAAATTTGCTTTACTTCGGGTGATCACCGCCCTGACCTTTAGGCGATTTGTGTTCTGACGCTTGTTCTGGCATCAAACCTCATTTGTGCTTTGAAACCTCATCTATCATAAAGGCTGGGAAATGTTCTGGACTGTGTTCTGACATCTTTGTTGGCGTGTGTCTGACACTTTTCCTGTTTAATTTTACATGTGCCTCGTTCTCAAATATATATATATATATATATGGTACCCCCCCAAAAAACTATGTTCACCTAACTTTTGCTGGTATTTGCAATATTTTGTCTATTTTTGGAAGCCTTTTGGACCTTGGTTTTTGGGGGTACCATATATATATATATATATTGTGCAGGTAGGTTACATAACTTGTTTGTCCAGAGATTAAAAATTCCGGCATGTTAAATAACTTTGGAAGGAATGCCTTCAGAATGCACTCAATGCATTCAGAATGCATTCTTGTTCAAAACCAAGATCCAAGATCCAAGATCCCCACAAGACTCCTGGCTAAAAATCTTGGATTGATACAGTGATAAGGATGTTCTGGCAAATCCAAAATCCAAGATTTTTCACAAGACTTCTGTGCAAATCTTGGATCTTGGTTTTGGGAAGGAATGCATTCTCTGGCATTCTCTGGTAGTGACAAAATTGCACTAAGTACATTTTGTTCCTGGAATATTACTGATTACCGACATGTGTTCCTCATTCAATTCTAATTATCAACTAATTCAACTCTAATTTACTTCTATGAATTTTAGTGCACATACAATTTTAACGAATTTCTAAGTCAATTCTTATTCCAATTAAAAATCACTTGTATTTCCATTTAAATTTCTAAGCTGAAGCCTAATTGAACTTTAAATGGGTTCTAATTTGAGTATGTAACATAGTTCTACTTTAAGCCTAAGTTGAGCCTTATTGAATTCTAATTTAAGTCTACTTAGCTTAACTTCATTGTATAGACAAATTCTAATTCAGTTTTTTTCTGATTTACATGTTTTGTTTTAATTCTAATTATGGTTGGCTATTTTTGATTTAATGGAATTCAACATTGAATCTAAATTTGAATCTGCAACGAGCTTCTAGCTTAAATAGAAAATGATCCTAATTGAACTTTCTATAATTGAAATCAAACTGCGATTGCAAGTTAGATCTAGTTCAATTCCAATTGAGCTTAGATTCCAATTTAATTCTAAGTCAATACTGTTCTACTAACCAAGCTCTAGGAAAAAGAACTCTAATTCAATTCTACCTTAGTTCTAAGTCAATTTCAACTTAAGTAACGGATTCTTATTCAATGTTTTTCATTCAATTCTAATTTAATTCCAGTCTACTTCTAACTTAGTTCTATGTCATTCTATTCTGGATTCAATTGTAACTTTGACTGTGCCAATTTACTGGTAATTAATTTCTAATGTTTATGCCTTTGTACAGTTCGGATTCAATTGTTTTACACATCTAGTTTTACACTATTGTCATTGCAAATTAGGTTTGGTTTCTATATGTCTAATTTCACCCTTTTTTGATTCTGGTTCAATGCACATGGAATTCTAATTCAGTTTTGGTGTCATTCTAGAGAGTGGGTGTTGCTGGTGGTGAATTCAACTCATTTAAGAAAGCAAATGCTTCTATATTGGAAAAACATAAAATCTCTCATGTTCAAAGTAACACCACTTCTCTAGAAGTAAATGAGAGTTTCACTCAAATTAAAACTAAACTGAAAAAGAATACACTATTAGAATTGAATCTGACTTGTATAGCAATGAAGTTAGAATTAGCTTGAAATCAAATTAAAATTAGGCTTGCATTGAATCCCAAGTAAATTAGAATCTATAGTGATAGAATATTGAATCAAAATAGAATTTACAAATAATTGAAATAGACTCAAGTTTGAATTTGAATATAGAACGTAGAGTAGAGTTGAATAGATTTGAATTTAAGTCTAATTAGAATTAAACTTGAATTTAACTATTTAGGGTTTGCAACTCTTTGCCTTCTGATTATGATGTACTTGCTCAACTGCATTCAATAAGAGCAGTACAATTCTCATCCTAAAAACAAAACATATGGTTTTGCATGGGGGTTGCAATGAATTAGATTACTCCATCCAAGAACTGTATAGTAAACATATAACCTTATGGATTTGGACATTTTTTGTAGTACATAGTTCAATGAACAAATATGCTTACCAACTGCACACCAGCACTCAGAAACACAGTTTTTTTTGGGGGGGGCTAGCATATATATATATATATAGAAGGGAGGAAGGGAGGAAGGGAGGGAGGCCCCCTCCCTACACCTATCGGTAAATACTTTCAAGGACTTTTCAAGGGCTCCAAGCGCTTTCCGTCAGCTCCGGCAATTTGTGACTCAAGTGGACCATGAACATCGGCATTGGCGTCTCATGCATATGTGTTGTCTGGTTTGGCATCGTTGCAAAATGTCAAATGTCCCTTTCTGGGCCTTCACCAATGTCTATCTGGGTGCGAGCTCAGTTGTGCGGGCCAGCGGCCCACACCACCGCTGATCACCCGGGTCCGACGCATGAACCCCGTGGACCCTCTGAAACAAAAAGACAACAGGTACGTACGATAGGTACGTCCGTACGTACCCATAGGTACGCGGTACGTCCTTGAGACTCCAGGTGAATGACAGAACAAACGAAATTCGGATGACCGAAGTCTCCCTGACCAAAGCTCGTCTCCTCAGCAAAGTCGAAGAGGCTGGGTGCAGCCTAAGGCAAATGTGGAGGCTGGCTGTCCAATCGGAAGGAACCGGGCAAACAACTCCCCCAGGTTTGGGTATTTGCCCAGTTGGAGAAAACATGCATCACACATCATCAGGCCTATATAAACAGGGGTAAGCTTTGGGGTCTCGCTACTTTTGGACCACCCGCCACATCCAGTGCTAACGTAGATTGGAGGATGCCCCATTTGGCAGCGATCACTCTGACCACGGCGCAAGAAATCTCACGATGCTTGATTAGTTCTCAACGATGAGACATTGCACACCCAGACGCTCCAAACAACCCTTGGTCTCTCAAAACCATAGGGATTTGACGGGCCGGACCCCTCCCAGAGGATTCTGGCCCAGCCCCTACTTAGGAGGGTCCAAGGCGTCTGGAACACTCAACGAACTGGTTGGTGGCTTCAACCCACTAGAAAACAAACCAAGTCAGTGGGTTCAGTCACCCCAAATAAAGGTTGAAGGGTTGAAGATACAAAAGATCTGAAACCACCACCAAGAGAACCACTCAGTCTCTAGAAAGATCTTGAATGCAATAAAGTGCCAATCCCCTGCTATAAGTAGTTCCCTACCAAGGCCTTAGCAAGACCATCAGTCTGAGCTGTCACATCCAGCCCCAACAACTCTTCCCTGTTGTGGTAGAATCCCAACATTCCAACTCCCAGGTATGTCTGAGCGATCTAAATTGCAGGTCCCTCCATACAATATATTCCGCCTGGCGTCAAGCGCTTCTGCCCAGCAGCCAGGAAAATGCGCAGCTTTAACTTTGGAGAGAGGCCTGATGACCAGGTGGCCGCTTCTCCCATGAGAAATCAAACCATGTCGAATACACCGAGCGATGAACAAAAAGCAAAGACATGCACGTGCTTCATCCGTTCATTTAGTAGCGTTCGGACGCGAACGAAAGAAGGTGGAGGCCAATCCAAGTAGGTTGAAGGCCATCGCCATCGCTACGGAGCAAATTCGAAAATGTTGCCTAACCCTTGCACGTTCAGTCTTAACGACCGACGCTTCGGTCTTCACGTCGCTTCTTCACGTCGTCCAGTCCTCCAGTCCACTTCAGGTGACCAGTGACGCTTGTTCAATCCATTGTCATCTGAGTTGTGTAGATTCCCAGAAGACAGACATGACATGAC